TCCTATTGGAGCTCTCTTGGAGGTGGAGGGGTCGTGTTTTGGATTGGTGTATATCAAAATATCAAAAGGTGGAGAAGTCGTATTGGAAATTGAAGGGTCGTAAGGGTAGCGGAGGATATCGTGTTTGCAGGGTTTTTTGACGATTCTGTGGAAAACTTAGTAAAGGAAGCAAAAAGTAGGGAAACAAAGATTCGTTCTCTCACGAGGAAAGGATGATGGGTCGAAGTGGCTATATAAAATGAGACATAAATTGAGGTGTGTGGTTTCTAACGCTGATCTCGAATCTGCTTCGCAAATCTGCCAAACGATTCGCTGAGCGGAGCTACGAAGGTTTTTCTGTTTCCCATACAGTTTAACACAGTCAGGAGTTGGCATCAGCAGTAGCGGCATTCAAGGTAAAGCATAGTCATTGTGGGCTGGTGGCCTGATGGTTACAGCGCTGGGCTCTCGGTAGGGAGGCCAGCGGTTCGAATCCTGGCGGGCGTTTATTCTTTTCATTTTTTGTTGGAACATGAGTTCTTCATCAACGGTCAATTCTATTTCCTTTTTGATGAGCTTGCGATCATTGACATTGAGATTTCCAACTTGCGGCGCGCTAGCTAGGGTTAGGGTGCGCCAGCATCCGTAGCGCGTGCTTCAGCCGTTTTTCAGTGAAACGAATATGATATCCGCACTATGGCAGCCAAGATGCGGCTGAGGTTAATCTCTTGGAAAATTCGAGATTTTGACAAAACTCTGACAAAGTGGGCGAGTCACTTGTACTATACATGCTCCTAACTGGTAGGCCCAGGGATGACCTATCTTCGACGACGGCGACCGTTTGTATTTAAAAATAGTACCATATGGATGCTGCAATCATGCACACAGAGATTCCACACATTTTCCCCAAACACATCCTCCAGAAAATTTATTTGAACTTATTTCGTCCTGAGGCTAGGTGTCGATGATAGGTTGATGGATGAACAGATGGGTACCCTGTTTTTCGAAGTTAGGCCGAAAACTCAGATTCACACTCGTTTGCTGCAAAAACGTCTTGCAGGAGTCCTGGAGGTTCAATGTGCAGTCATCAGCTAGCTAACTTGTATGGATCCTCGCAAACTCTTGTATGGGAACTACAGGCAGGCGTTGATCAAGAAGCATAGTTGGGAGGCTTTCTCAGCCATGTTTTCGCAAAAGCAAAATGGAAAGCATGTCAAGGAATCGAACCTACGACCTCTCACCCGTGATCCTGGACCACTACCACTGCACAATTTAGCTTCATAAGTTTGTTCCTGAAATCGTTTGGCAGATTTGGAAAGCAGATTTGAGTTCAGCGTACAAAGTCACATCCAACGGTGTGGGTCTCATTTCATACGGCCACTTCCACCCATCATCCATTCCTGGTCAGACATATTTACCCCTTCCCCCCCCTTACCTCCGCCGTGGTTTGAAGGGAAGAGGTTGCGGGCGGAGTTGGGCTGTGTCAGGGGCCTTCTCAGAATTGAATACTTCAGAAACAGTCATGATAGTGAGGGTGGGGGTTGGGATGGGCAAAAGGTAATCGTAACGGGGGATCAGGTGCTTCCTTAATGTTGGCGATGACGGTGGGGGTCATATTGATTCCTCACCCCCAAAGAGGAGAATTCGTAAAATATTTTGAATCTGCGCAACGCACGGTTGATCCTGTTCCCATGTAAGGACCCATGTTCGCGTTCACAAGTTTCATTACCTTTATAATTTTCTAATTTTTCTAGTATATTCGTCACGATAGAGCTCGTTGAATATAATATCAGCGGTAACAATAGAAAGATTTTTTAAAACAGCATTTCCAGTGAAGAGAGCTTGTATTCAAAGCATGGCAAGCCAACGTGAAAGACTCCTCTACATCATAGCGGATTCAGAACGAGCGGGGCAGGAAACGGGTTTCTAGAAGAGGTGAGAACAAATTTACCTTTGCTTCAGGAGTTTTTGTGGGAGAACGAGAATTTCTAGTAATTTTTAGTGACATTTTGAGGAATTTGAAAAATTCAATTCATATGAAATACTTTGACTTTTGCTTTATTTTTATTTTTATATGTGTTAATTGAATCGTTTTTTAGACACAATAATTTTAATTATTATTATTTGTAACATAAGCAAACTCTAAACCTAAATGATGATTATAATTAAAATGAGATTTTAATAAACGCAACAAATTAAAAGCGTTTTGAGTTTAATTAATAGTAAAAGCTTCAGGAATTCGGAGTTTTCCCTTCCTATCTGCAGTATGATACCTTCATTAAGATTTTTCAGACGTATGTAGATCGGGGAAGTGGAAGGACCTCTATTTAACTTAAGTCCTGATGGCAGAAGGGGGGGGGCGGTTAGGTGCTGTCCATTTTCTCTGCCTTGGCTCACCCTGGTAGTGGAATTGGGTCAAGCTGCAGAGCACTTCAGTACCGTAATTGTCCATGAGCACCTGAGGTGTCGCATTTTTCAAGCCACTATGACGATGTTTACTTGGCGCATGAGTCGACGAAAATCAACGCACCTCCAGTGGAAAATTGGCGCCTTCTTAGGTTACACAGACATAGGGTATATAATGTCAGCATCGTAATTGGAAGTCTAGCAGGCGCTATCGTAAACTTCAGCTCTCACCTTAAGCCCATGGGTAAGTGTTTTTATTGGATCATCGCCAAATTTAGGACTGTCGGCCGCGCAGATTTTTTGGTCGTAAAGGAGGCATTCGCTTTGATAAGCTGAACATAGTGGCCGGAGTCGGAATGATGTCCGTCGACCTAGCCAACAAGCTTCTTCCTCTTAGTTGCTCTGCAGGTTGGAGTCAATTCCGGCCGTTATAGGCGCTACTACTCTTGTTAGGTGTCGCTATCTTCTCTTATTTGTGCCATTTTTCACCATGACTCTACCTTCACCCAGCTTATCCTCGATACGTTCCACACCTTTTGTTAGAACCTTCTCGGGATCGTCCTTGTGGGCTTTCGAGCCTAGGGCAGGGCGGGCTGCGGGTGATCCTATAGTCTTTCCAGCACGTGTTCACGTAATCTCAGTCGTCTTGCACTTCGCTTGGGTAAGAGCAGCTCGCTTTACTGCCCTGTTCCTCGTTTTTGG